AGTCGAATCTCGTTTTGATTAAAAATACTGCCTGAAAAATGACGATAAGGTGGATGCAACGATATAAATTCTTTATGGAGTCGCAGAATCGGTTGAAACGAAACGCGACGTGAAGTCCAGTGCTCGACGTAGGACCGTAACGGGTTAAACGAAGCGCGATCGGGTCGAACCAGTTCCGTTGCACTTTAGTATCGACGTCGGACAGTAGTCGAAGCCCTTGTTCGAAGCGCGCGTCGTCGAGCACGGCCATATTTCCTATCCGTCCGGGGTGAAATAATTGCGACGGAGTGTACATTTTATCCGTTTTAAGAAGCCCATCTATACGTCAGTCTCTCGCGCGTACTTTGCAGCCGACTGCACACAGTCGTTCATCGCGTTCCTACGGCCCTCGTACCGATCTCACGGATCTCGATGCTCGCTCGTAGACACACAGCGTTCGCGAACATCGAACGCCAGGCGTATAAAATCGATACAGTCGTAAAAGTGACGCCCCGCGTACCGGAGGGAACCCGTTCGATAAGTCATCGGGATATTATGAACTGCGAACATTTTTCCGCGAACAATGGCGGCGGCTTCGGGGTCGCTTCGTAAATTCGGTTTCTCCCTTAACGACGTCGCACGAATCCGTCCGCGAGGCGAGAAATATGGGTCGCGATCGACACGCTTGCTCCCGCAGTATGCGCTTTCTAATGCAGTCGCTTTCCAAGAAACTGCCAGAGTTCGACCAGGTAGCTCACCTTTCTTCGGGCAGAATTTGTGGAGACGTTCCACTATCGGTGCACGTCGCTTATTTAGGAACGCCGCTACTTGCGTTTACCGCGTCGAAGTCGTTTCTATCGATAGAACGTTTGGTGCAAAGAACAAATTTTTAATTCAATTTAACAGGAATACATATATCTCATAGTCGATGACCTGGACAAACTCACCCTAGCGTTAACAATGACACAAAGAGGGTGATTTGTAAGGATGTCAGGAATGGTCACAGGCGTGAGGTAGTAAAACATAACTATATAAACTATATTATTTAATATTACTATAACTATTTAACATAACAGAACATAAAAAGAATATAAAAACGTGAACGTAAAAGCTATAAGTGATTACTCTCGACCAGAGTTCGATGCAGAGTGACTTTCTGCTGTCGAAGTTGAACTCTCTCGATTCCTATCTACATTCTACATCTTTGTCTAAACAATATCTTCCCCGGTTTAAACACAAGTAAATTTCTTACAATTTAATAGCAATATATTTCATAGTCGATGACCTGGACAAACTCACCCTAGCGTTAGCCATGATACAAAGAGGGTGATTTTACCCCCTAAATAAGCCGAATAAATCGAAATACTTCAGAGTCCAATTTCGATGGATGGAAATCTGTATTTGCAATGTGTAAGCGATCGATTGCGTAATCAATTAGAATCGTAGTGGCCAGTGCTGGCGCACAATCGAGCGCTTTGGAAACGCCGAGTCGAGCGAGCCTCGTCGAAAAAGGATAGGCGAAAGTCGTTGGAGGTTAAGTATTCCCTCGATCGTCCGATAGGCCGTTTCCAACATTCGAGTATCATCGTTCACTCGCAACCTTACAACTTTCGTGCCGTCTAGCGGCGTGTTGTTCGTTTCAAAGAGAGTACCTGCACGTTTTCGTTCGCCGCCATTAAAGAATTGTCCATTAAAGATGCGATCCGGATACGGGAGTCGCGCGAAGTAGGTAAACCGTACGGAGAAGGCAAATGTCATCCAGCGTCTTGCCAAGAATACGTTTCGTTCGAGAGGGACGGTGCATCTTCGTTTACCGGGCGGCCATTAGCGTTCAGCGTTAACCTTTACCGAGAAGGATCGCATCCGAGAGGCACGCGTTCGTTTCGAGGCGACGTGGCTTTTGTGTTTTCCACGGCTGGAGACCCCGCGACCCTTCTGTGTCAGGCGAGAGCACTCGTATAACGCGGGGTTGCGGAATACGTTCGCGTAAATTATTAAGGAAGCTTCGCAGGACGCGATAAAGGGGTATCCGGTCACCGTTCGTTTGCACATTGATGTATCTCGTCTTACCTTCCGCGAAAGTTAACGGGTTCCAAAAGTTTCATATAAATTAGATTATAATCTTGAGTTTGCAGTGTGGTTAATACAAGGAAACAAGATTATTTTCTTTAATACGATTCAACTCATCTTGAGCTTCCATTGCTCTCCAAACTTTAAACGAAGTATACAATATTTTAGTTTTCTCTTACGTTTCTTTCATAGTAAGAACAATTTTAATTAAATACAACCGGGTAAGAATCGATTCTACAAGCTATAGTGTATCAAAAATGTCGAACAAAATTTTTTCGTACGATGGTTCGTTTTCGAGATAATTAAATTTGAATGTCTGATAATTACTCGCCATTTCCACTTATTTTTGTATGTACTTTGTGCACCTATCCTAGATTTCTGTTAATGCGGACAGCTCTTATTCAGGCATAAACTTCTAAAATAAATGATAATAAAATATTTCTTCTTTGGTAATATATAAACTTTGACGTTTTAATGCTAAAATTTTCTCAAAGCTTACATATGAAATTTGAGAGCCTGAGACTGGATAAATACTTATTCAAACATAAACTTCTAAAATAAACGATAATGGAATATTTCATTGGTACGTCATCTTTGGTAATATACAGGGTGTTCGGCCACCTCTGGCAAAAATTTTAATGGGGGATTCTAGAGACCAAAATAAAACGAAAATCAAGAATACCAATTTGTTGCTGGAGGCTTCGTTAAAAAGTTATTAACAATTAAATTCAAAAATTTCAAATCGTTTTGGAAAAATTATTTTCGGTTGCAGGGGTCAATTAGAATCATTTTTGGTGAATAGACATACCCCCGAAATCCTGCGCAATTTCGAGAAAAAAATTCAGTACGGGCGGAACTTTAAACGTTAATAACTTTTTAACAAAGCCTCCATCAGCAAATTGGTACTCTTGATTTTCGTCTTATTTTGGCCTCCAGAATCTCCTATTAAAATTTTCCCCAGGGATGGCCGAATTCCCTGTATAAACTTTGGCGTTTTAATGCTAAAATTTAGTCTGATTTCTCAAAGCTTACATATGAAATTCGAGAGCCTGGGACTCGATAAATAACAGAGTGGAACGCAAATTTCTAAGTAACGAATAAGGCACTGTCTAAATAAAGTTTTATCGAAACAAATACTTTTGTTCTAGTATGGTTCTATTCTCGATTATTACGTTGGTATGCTTGTGTTTGTAATAATCTGCGGAGAAGAAAAGACCTTCCGTGCGAGTCGTATTGGGTCAGACGTTATGGCCAACCTTCATAAGGCAGTATTACTTGACGCTCTTCACATTCTACTTTTTCATAGTACCACATTCCCCTTAATCCGGGACTGTTCTTCCTTTCTCTCCGCAATATGTATGCGTGTGAAATATTATACGCCATTTTCAGTCGTTCATTTCATGTTTCTGCATTTTTATCCTGTATGGGATTGTTGTATGTATCGCGCGACACTTGGATTTTTGTTTAAAAATATCCGGCTTTCCTGCGATTTTGCTTTGTAAATACTAGTAAGAATTCGCCAGTTTCTTTGATCAAAATTGTATTTAATTAAAGGTACGGTACCTTTTCAACCTGATACCTTTCGAGTAACATGATCCGACAATGGTTCGAAGCAGTATATTACACGCGAGAGTTTGATTGTAAAATCAAATTGTTACGATCGTTTGTTGTGAAGTTTGTGTAAACGCATCCAGCATGAAATTTTAACGAGAGCATTAGATTACAATTAAGGATGGATTTCGTTTAATTTGCACGATTGTTGAGCTACGATAAAAATAGAATAATAGTGAGCTGGCGAAGCCTTTCAACAGCTGGCGCTTAGTGTAAAGTGTCTCTCGTACGGCTACGGGACGCACTAATCCCATAATCTCTTTCACCAAAGCGGACGTTTTGCGCCGCTGACTCACGTTTCCGGTCGGGCGGGCTTCTTGCACCTGTGATGGCGACTATAAGAAAGTTTTTACGACGAATTTATAAATCGAAATCCCTTGGGATCAGGGACGATAAGACGATTTATTCTAAGAACGAATGGGGGCAGACATTTTATTTTATATGACGCGTATGTTTGAGCTTTGTTCGTATTTTATTTTTCATTAAAATACCATCAAGGTATCTGTTATGATTTTACACGTATAACTATAGCCAGTAACAAAGTCTACGTACACTCTATTAATATCGATGATCTACGTAATAAATTGTTTGTTCAAGTAAGGGATGAGAAGAATGAGTGAGCAAAATATTTAAATTTTTAAATCATTACAAAATCAACGGAGGTGTTAGAAACGTAGATTAAATTCTCCTTGGCGCGTTTCCCCCTCTTAAAGGAGGATCGGTCAGGACACTTGGAAAAAGAAGGGCTGTACTGTCAAGGGTATCCTCACGACCCTGGTTCTGTCAGGGTACAGAACTGTATTGGCTTTTGCCGTGAACACAGATAAGATTTTAGAAAGTCCATCGTGTGTCGATTTTATTAAAACGCCACATCGCTATCCTGATCCTGATATCAATAGAAACAAAATCATTTGATTTAAATTATAAAGGAACTTAGCCATAACCTTTCTATCGTCAGCGTTGTAATCAGAGAGAAATTTTACATTCGACCGATAGTATTTCATAGACAAGTATTATGTCTCGACTAAAGCGATTGGGCGAAATATCAAAGTCATTTATTCGGTGTGTTGCCAAATGTCAGCGAGACACAGCCTGGGTAATTACAGTTCGTTACTATGGAAAGTATAGCTCAGCGTAGGTAACTGACCTATCATATCCCATGGCTCGTTAGGATCTATTTACCTGTATATAGGATGAGAAAAGAACGCTCTACAAAGACTTTTATACACAATACGTAACATTGTGGTACTATAAAACTGAGCAATAACCCAGCGAAGATAGTAAAGTGTAATTTATGAAGGATATTAATCTGACACGAGGCTTTTGTTAATTTGTTACAGGCCTGTGCGAGGTGGAGTCGGGTCAGTCCAACATTATTCTTGATATCGAGGAGAGCAGAGGGAATGGTGAGTAGATGCGTTAATTCAATTTATGCTTTACATCGGGCAGGTCAGCGTCGTTAATCTTTGCCAATTAATACCTCATTTTCTCTTACTTGCGTCTAATGAATAATTTAAGCGATTCTGTTGATAATAGATTGGTTTATAATTCAGAAAAATTGTCTTGACACCACGTTCGGTCTAACATTTCAGAAATTACTACATTTTAAGAATAAATTCACCTAACTAATGAAATAATAATTAATAGTAAATATTTGTTAATTTTAACGTTACCAATAAAATTGCTAGCACCGTGAAATCAGGTCGATCGATAAGAGAAATTGACGGGGTCGTTCACCCTTGTCGATTTTATATAATATAGTTTCTGGGAAATTATGCGGAAAGAATGCGAACGAGTCGATGCGGCGTAATTAGTAAACGTTTGATGGCATTAATGAGGTATCGCTCGAGATCGCGTTTGGTTTGTAAAGATAACATTAATTAACCGAAGCGAGGACAGCGAGGCAACCATCAGGAAGTAACTTCATACACTCTTACTGAATCTAATAATTTAAAATAAGCACGCTTGCGTTTCTTCGTTCTACCGGTTAACTTCTTCCCTAACGATTCAACTTCACGGGTATGGTGCATTATTCGCGAGTATAACGAACGATAATAGTGCAAAACGAATCCACTATTATCCATCTGAAAAAGATCTTACCTTCGAATACGTTCCTCGTCATACTCTAGACGTGCTATCTTGATAAACGATGTTGCACTCGATTAGCCTCTATAATTACGTCCTTTGCCAGCTGAACCTCCTCCAATGAACGACCACGTTCGTAACTTCGGTTCGTGTAGCTAAACGTTAATTGCCACGTCCGCGATAAAGTGAAATTTTAGTCTTTTATTTAGCTGTTTGTTGCATCACTTAAGCATTGCGTGTATTTATTTCGCATTCATTTTACATCAGTCCATTGCACGAGTCACCTAGCATTACCATCTGCAACGTTTCCGTTCTCGTTGGCGAGAAGAAAGTAAGCTCAACGTCACTTTTTGAACTCTTTGCGAGATACTTCGTTTAAAAACTTTTTAAAACTGGTCTCGCCCGGTTTGCTATTATTTTAATTCTTAGGATCCGGCGGCGAATAAATATAGGACACGATACTAGTAAATTTAGTGTAATTTTACTTTCAGTGTTTTCGCAGAAAACAGCCTGGCAGTATTATTAGAAAATACCAGGTTAAATTGGTTTCCAGTAAAGGGGTTAATGAAAGACCTTATCCAAGTGGCTGAAATCGATTTTCTTCCCCTTGAAATATAGCGTTAAGCACTCTGTATTCGTGTAATCTCACATTCGTTGAAAATGCATTCGCGAAACCACGCTGAAACTTAATATACGTACAATAAAAAACGTCTTTTTTCATAAATCTTTTTAAGTAAATTTAATATTATATTTAATGGAAACGTATTATTTTACTTTCGTTCTAGGTAAAAATTTGACCCGTCGAAAATATTATTTTATTTTTACAGCGATCGATCAGAAGACCGTACCGGAGGAACTTCCGGTATCTGGCGATCCATACAACGAGACCATGCTGGAGCTGATTTTTCCTGGAAGGCAGCCACGTTTCAAACTGAACGGCAAGAAACTGCAGCTTCTGGAACCATTAGACAGGGACGCCGAAAATCTTTCTCACGTCGTTTTTCAGGTAAGGGCAATTACGCTTGACATTGAAATCTGTGACGCAGCATTAAGCAGATTGGTTCGTAGTCGAGGAACGCAGCTGTGTGAAATTAAATTTGCCCAATCCATTAACGGTAGCTCTGTGTTTGCTTAAAACGTCAATGGTGGTTCGCATGTCGTGAATCGCGGTGTTTGTCTCGAGGAAATCGAGTATATTTCATCGATTTGAATACTGTTAGTAAGAATACAGAAATAAAACAAACAGAGAAACGAATTTCTTAAGAATAAAATTGTATTCTTGGAAGGCTAGAACGCAAACAAAAATAAGAGACGCTTCTTAGTAACAAAGATTGTATAGTTATTTATATGGAAATTATATATTCGCTTCGAGACGCGGGTTACTTTCTTTTATTTAGAAACCCTAAGTTTGCAGACTCGAAAATGCAGTATCGCGAAGCATCGCTGCACGCCACGCAATAAGGGTCTCTGTGGGCGTCGTGGTTCTGCAAACAAACGCAAATGCGATTCAGACACTTGCCCTTCAGCTGTCGAGACGGACGGTGGCTCCTGTGGATATTCGAGAGGGTCGAATGGAGAAAAATAACTTTCGTCGTAGTCGTTGATGACGCACTGAGTCTTCAGGCTTTAGGCATTTTGCTTTTACTCCGTACAGTGTTGGACAAAAGCATAGTCACGTCGAGATTATGACCATAAATTTGTTAATACATCAATTGATACAAAAATTTAATTCTCTTTAAAATTTATACGAATGATAAAATTTTAATCAAAACGTGATCCCAAATCGTGTTTTTATTCTTACATAATAGCTGGTATATACGTACAACGGGGATTGTAATTGCGCAAACATCCTCTACAAATTTAAATTCATTTTCAATTAAGTGAACAATTTATAATCGAGTTTTATCGCAAACCAGTCGTATGATTAATAGGAATTGCTGAAACTTCTTTAGGTATATAGTGTCAAAGTAAATATCAAAATAAATATAGAAAACAACATAAATTATAGTAATTGATGAAATGCCCTTTAAAATGAGCGTTCGTACCAGTCGATAGCTTTATTAGTTCCGGAGATATAGCGATTTTAGTTTCAAGACGATGCGGTGGCTAGTTCCGGAGATATAAGGATCCGAAGCGTTTGTTTACGTTTCATTGAGATCAATGAACTCGCGCGCGTGACAATAGTAAACAGTGCGTAGTAAATTCTTGGAAATACTACGACTTCCGCGTCACGACTGTCTCGACTCACGTGCGACAAAGAAGTACGACGCGACGCGTCAAACGGAGACAGAGATAGTCAAATTAAGAAAAATATCCTTTTACATAAATTGCGATATCTCGAAAACGGAAAGTCGGATCGACGAAAACCAAAAGCCATTTTAAAGGGGAAGCTTCCCCGCTTCTGATGATGGCTCGATAATGGATACATCACGCGTGGTTTCGGAGATGCACGCATGTAAAGTTTAAGTATATTTTATATGCACCGTTCGATTATTGCAAGACGGATACTGCGGGAGCGAGAAAGAGGCTCAACGCGTTAGACGGAGACAGAGCTAGTAGAAATTAAAAAATTACACTTCTCTTTACACGACGATATCTCGAAAACGGAAAGTCGGATCGACGAAAACCAAAAGCCATTTTAAAGGGGAAGCTTCCCCGCTTCTGATGATGGCTCGATTATGGAGAAAACACAACTGACTTCCAAACTGCACGCATGTAAAGTTTGAGTACTTTCAATACGCGTTTCTAGACTATTAATTAAAATAGTATAAGTAATAAGCAAATTCTAGTAAATGACAATTCTATTAAATGTTTTTGGCATTACTAACATTGATTATTTCATGAAATTTCATTTGCTTTGACAATCTGTCAGCCTCTATTTAACGAGTCTAACGCGATTCTGAATAAACCAACTGCAATAATTTTGATCTCATCGATACCCAGAACTTCCTAAGCACGTATATAAGCAGAATACAAGAAAAAAGGCACTAAATCTTCCGGTTTCTTGTGCAGAATCTGCTAAGTATCTTCGATGAGGACTTCACCAGTAAACCCACGACCTTTCCCTCTACCTCTCTCTTTCACTTTCTTATATTTCATCTCTATAGTTTATTAACGCTGTAAGTTGTAATATTCATAAACTCAAAGTAACATTAACATGGTCACTATTTCGATACACGAAAATTATTTTCCTTTCCATGAACATTTCCTAATATTTTTCAACGTTCTAACGGTGTATCTAGTTTCACCAAAAGTGACAATTTTCAATTGATTCAAGCTCTTTGAAAATCACAGTCGACCCGTACGTGAGAACACGTACAGACCCACGTGAGAGTCAAACGATAGTGAATTTATTAAAGGAAACAGTTCACTATGTTTGCATCACAGCAGGTGATTGCTTCGATTGTTATTTGAAGCGTGTCTACGCATTCGAACATAAATTAATACGGTCGAGACTCGTTGAAATAAAGTTAAAGGGAGCCGTTATTCGCCGCGATACTTCATTCTAGACTGCTTTACTTCTTTCGATTGTTATATAGACGCGGATTAATGTTTCTGACTGTGGAATGCTTGTAGACCGTTGGCGAGGAATTCTGTTAGACTGCTTTTCTTGCTCTGTTTTCTCATAGGAAGTTATCCGCGGCCAGAACTTCTGCTTTCTGTATTTTACAACTCAACTTGATTATACGATACACGAGTCATCGAGTACAGGATTTGTCGCGACGGAAATCGAAACATTTCTGAAAAACGATCCTCCCCATCGCGGGGAATGTCGTACGTTCTAATCAGGAAAAATAATTTATATAAGACGTCCCGCGATGAACGGTACAATGAAAAAGAAAGCGATTGCATGTAAAAGTAAATCGAAAACGTAGAAATGTTTCCGTACGCGGACTCGTTTACGAGATAATTAATCTTCAAACTTGTTTGGGGCACGTGATCGAGTTACTAAAATATGCGTGATCGCATCTTATCTATATCGCGTCTATCTATTAATTACGTAACAATTCATTTTCAGAGGTCCTATTTTTCTCTATTTAATTATAACTTTAAAAAAAAATTCATTAATTCATCGACATCAATTTTCTATAAAATGGAGCACCGTACAAACTCTACGTGTTCGATTGATTTTCGTACGTAGAGTCGCTTTATTCTTGTCGTTTCTTACGGTATAGCCCGGGCTACAATATAGCGAGGTCGTAAACTCGAGTAGGTGTCAAAGTTTACAGGTTTCAGCTCCCGAAACAAGTGAATTGACAGAAATACGAGCATCTAAGGGCCTTAGACCATAGTCAGGGCCGTACGAAGAAATGTTTTATATAGTGTCGCCATTTTTAGAAAGCCATTTTCAACTCTTTAATACCTTGATTTACCTGCTTATAATATATGCATGTAGACAATGAAAAAAGGTAGTGCAGTTACGGACACAAAACGACACCCTCAAGCAAGATGTCATGTACGGCCCTAAGTGCCGCAGCAGTAGTTGGTTCCAACCCTTAAGAGTTTAGTTTACGACCTCGCTATATTGTGGCCCGGACTATACACTATACACGTTCGAAGACAGATTGGCAACGTAGTTGAAAGTACACTTCATTAGAGACTAAGTTGCTAGTTGTTAAAATATAATAGGTAATTGGTTGTTGTGTAAAGACATCTGACAAAGAATGTCCCAGTCTTAATTACAGAACGGTTCGAGTACTACCGTTGTGTTTCAACAAATCTCGAACGCAGTAACATCGTCAGCATCCCTGGCTCATTAGTAGAAAAATAATTTGAATGCTTGTGCTCGCTGAGCGATACAGCCGGGCTGATGAGCTAGCGTTTAACGGTTTGTGAGCACCTGTCTCCAGGTTTGCGAACCGTAACAGTTTGAATTACTCCTCCATCGCTTTACCGTTCCAGGGTCTGATATTCAGACTCTACTACCTCATAACACTGACATGGCTGGGCTGATAATTAATTAGAACGAGTTCCATGCTCGAACTGGATCGTCGCGAAAGTTATTCCGCGTATTTAAAATTTAACTCTCGAATATCAATAGACATACGTCGATAACGTTGGTGCAGAATTAGAAACATATTTTATTTTTTAATCCGGGGCACCTCAAAATAACAAGACACGGGGAAAAATAGCAATTTTCTGTTTTGTTATATTCTGTAACTGGCGGAAAAATAATTGACTTTGCATGGTTCGCAGGATTTATTTCGAATTCCCATAAAATGCTGCGGGAAAGAGAAGCTTTGTTTGGATAACGTAACTCGAAGTCAAAATCAAAATTTTCTTTATAACTTTCTTTTGGACAAATAGTGATGGTAGCAAAGATATTGAGACGTACACTTTTAAGTATATTTATTTATATTTTCTTTATTCGAAAATGGTCGTTTTGTTTCGCTGTTTTCTAAACTGTAATAATGGAAAAAACGATATCAGATCGACGAACGCAAGTGCATGCGATGGGCAATTTACCGTCTAACCGAATTTGCGATCAAATCGCGTACTGTTGGTAATTACGATGGTGTACGATACAGGGTACGGTTCTCCTTGACCATTATTGGCATCCGAGAATGCGCGTTGTCTCTTATGACACTATGGTGCACGGAATGTGAAAGGTCTAGAGCAGCGTTCTGGTGCTATAAGAGATTGCTCGTATTTGCCATTTTCGCAAATTGAGCGGATAAAATCGAACAGCTGGGAATTCATGTTTACACCTATTCGTTTGGCGAACGTTAGGGGAGGTAAAATCGATTCCAATCGTAACAATTTTATAGAGTAATTATATCAACGATATAATTCCTGAACAGAGAAAGTACCGATACAGATTACGATCGCCCATTATTGGCTTCGAACGATCACGTACATTGCACAACTACTTTGTCCTACGTGTCTTTTATTTAAAAATCAGAGGCAACATTACGAAATAAAATTTTTGAAACACAAGCTGAAGCAAATAGCTTAGAATATCGACAGTTATTTTAATATACGTCAAGTATTCCAGTATTTTCTAATAATTACTCGTTTTTATTTCAGTTGAGCTGCACTGTGAAGCAGACGAACAAGAAGCGCACCATACCGGTGATCGTGCGAGTCTCGGATATAAACGACAATGCCCCGATATTCATTAACACGCCTTACGAGACCACAGTGCCAGAGGTGAGCAATCCTAACGTAGCCAAATAATTTAAGAAATCGGTCTGTAATGTTATTCTAAAAACGAATCAAGCGACGTAACCTTATTTCCTCTGCGAAGCCAGACAGGAAAGCTGTTGGTTGTTGGATTTCTCTTTCGCGTTGCAACGCTGCTGATCCTAATTAATCGGTATCAGCAGCCCTGTCTCGACGAAAGTGGACGAATCGAGCCAGCAAGTTGCACGTGCGCGAGCTATTCCAAAACGGAACTCGGAAGTATCGTTTCGCCGTCAAAGAGTAACGATCGGTACGGCTCGCGGCGCGGATTCTTCTTCTTCTCCACATTCACGAACCGTTATAATAGAAATGGCGCATATCTCGGTGGGTACCGGTTGATCCAGTCAGATGCCGCGAGACGCGTACAAACGCACTCCCTTCGATTACCACGCCAACACTTATTTTAACGATCCCGCATTTTATAATTCGCGGACGAGGTGCGTGTTATCTCGATGCATCTGTGGCTATCGCCCCGTAACGGTATATTAAAACTATCCACGACCGTTCGGCCATTAAACGGCACGCACGGGACATTCTACGGGGGGCATAGTTGTGGACGTCGCTGCAACAAATGGTGTTTACGGCTCCATTAAGAAACGAAGATAGTTAACGCGAACTTTTAAACTCTACGTCCAGGATGTCCACAAATTTTTATCGTCGGACAGCTTCGATATAACTAAATTATCGATAAAGACTGTCGCACGAGCTGCACTAAACTTCTATTTTATTCTATAATTGTGATGATCGTTATCAGTGTTTTTCGTGTTTAAAGATGTATTCAACATTTGTCAAAATCATAGCGTGAACCATGGAAATATTCGATAATTCAAAATGAGTAGCGTTATTTATAATTTTACAAGTAATAAATTTCTCAGATTGTGAACAACATTGCAGCACGTTATAAGCTTGGAGGGCCGGTCACCAGGGACCACCAACCCAGTCGACTTTATGCTTGCACGCGTTGCGCTAACTGTCTGTTTATTGTGTTAAAGCACTCGTAGTTTAACGGTATGAATTATTTTATTGGTATTAATCTATGACAAATACGATTATCGAATACCGTTCGACTGCCGCTGTTATGGTTTACGATGGCGATCGTATCTCGTAATTAGCGTAGAGATATTCGAAAAGACTATTGGAAAGTCGACCATAATTCTCGCGGGCGTAACAAGTTCTGAGTAATTATGATTTACTGTTATGTTATCCTCCGTTCGTTTTATCGATGTACTTACTGCTAATCCTGTCAGATTTTCTTTTTAACGAAAAACAGCGGATCAGGAATAAATTCAAACCCGTCAACGTGTATCTTTTAATTGATATCCTGTCCCGGTATCGACGACGGTATCGTGGAAACGAAGGAAACACTTTCAATTTCGCGGCGAATGGAACGTGACCTATCGGTTGCAATTGCGGAATTGCGGGAGTTCTCTCGATCGAGATCTCGGAACGCCTTGTTCATGATTTCTGTCTCAACTAATTATTGCACGGCGTGCACCAGCCGGCCGACCGGTTTTGTGTACTTCGCCGAAGAGAAACGGAGGAAGCGGGATCATTCCGATCGATAATCGGTCGTGTAACTAAAAATCGACAGCGGCCTGACGAGAGATATTTGCTCGTAAGTTCTATCGATCGTACATTCTCTTGTAATCGCGAGGCCAAGCCGGGTTTCCACTACAAAAAATGCAGGGTGCCTTTACAACCCGAGAAAACGAATCGAAAACGTGGAATAAAATTATTTATACGACTCTTAGTTATCGAGAAAGGTTTGATCATTTTAACAGCGATCAAATTTCATCTAGCTTGCTGAGAAATTATTACAACACAATTTCTCGGGTGATACAACCTCTTCTATACTCGATTTTCAAATTTTTTTTTCTCAATAACGAAAGAACGTGGAATCAAATTTTTTGAACGACTCTTCGTTATCGAGAAAGATTTTATCATTTCAACAGTGATCAAATTTCATCTACTTGGCTCAGAAATTATTATAACACAGTTTCTCGGGTGATACAACCTCTTCTATACTCGATTTATAAATTTTTTTTTCTCTATAACGAAAAGACGTGGAATCAAACTTTTGGAACGACACTTCGATAGCGAGAAAGGTTTGAACATTTTAATAACGATCAAATTTCACCTACTTGCCTGAGAAATTATTACAATTTCTCGGGTGATGCAACCTCTTCTATACTCGATTTTCAAATTTTTTTTTCTCAATAACGAAAGAACGTGGAATCAAATTTTTTGAACGACTCTTCGATATCGAGAAAGGTTTGAACATTTTAACAACGATCAAATTTCACCTACTTGCCTGAGAAATTATTATAACACAGTTTCTCGGGTGATACAACCTCTTCTATATTTAATTTTCAAATTTTATTTTCTTAATAACGAAAGAACGTGGACCAAAATTGTTTATTTTTGCATAAAGAATTACGCTATAATTATTAGGACAGTCTGCATAGTAGACGTTCGCGGTAGTTTGACTTTCCGCGAGATTTATCGGGCGAAGTTACGGTTTTATCGTACGAAAAGGCTCCGTAAATTATCTCGCTGTAACGGCAGTCGAGAGTCTAGGTTCGAGCCTCTGCGTTTCGTCGAATTATTAATCTTGACGTACAGGTGCGTTTGACCCCACGGTCTTTAATTAGCGCCTGACTCTGGTATCCGGGTATCATTTATTGGAACGTCCGAATAACGACATTATGGTAATGCGTTTCGCTAATGCCACGGACATTTACACGGCTCGTTTATAGAATTCTCGTCCGATAAATAACAACAGAGGAATTGAGGGAGCTTCGTAAATGGACGCGATACGATCGACAACGGCTGCAAAGCGTGTAATTGTGACAAAGTTCGGGGAGTATCGGGCGACAGTCGATAATAAGACGAGACGGAAGAACGACGGCGAAACGGGAGCAAAGGGAAACAATATGTCCAACTTTTAATGCAAAAAGTTTGGTTCGAGAATTTACTTGAATTTTACGAATCTGGAAGTTTTAGATATTTGATACGAGCCTTTTCACTTTGAGACGAGACCTCTGTGAAACTGAAACTCTCACAGCTGGGGCAAGCATTGTACGACGAAAAAAAGTTGTGTATTAAACGAGTATTTGAAAAGGTGAAGATATCAAGGCACTTTTAAAAATATTTCCTGAGATTACAATAGTAAATTTTCAAAGTTTTATATTTTACTGTACACAGATCCATGGTACGCTTTGAACACGATAAATATTTTCGTTCGAATTTAATCCTTTCTTGCGTCGTTCGCACAGCTCCCGGCATCGCCGAATCTTAATTCATGCTCCAAAGCACTGTATCGTAAACTTTGCTAACTCCGCGAGTTCCAAACTTGTTGAAAGCTCGTAGAACTTTCACAGAAGCTACATTCAGCCGTTATACCTTGTATATTTCGTTCCCGAGTCGTTATTCGATCGCTGTGTCCTTACCTGTTCCAGTTACAAATTCCAGTTTGGTTTCAATCAAAATTTCGAGTAGCTTAGAAAATAGTTTACGGGTTGCTTTCGTTGTTCAATGCATTCGAGCACATTTTTAACGTTTAAAATTGTTCTGTTCGCAGTTGACGCCGGTCGGTTCGACCATATTTAAGAACATAGTCGCCGAAGACGCAGACGCTGGCGTGAACGGTATCGTCGAGTACTCGATAGCGCCTGGAGACGGAACTGGGATCGGCAACAATGACGAAGTCGGTCGAAATAGAATCACGACGGCCGATGGATACGGTTATTTCAGCATTAACCTGCCTCATCAAGGCCAGGTTACTGTCAACCGGACCCTCGACTTCGAGAGAACGCAGCGTTACCTAGTCACCATTTTGGCTTCGGTGAGTATCGATCATTTACTATTTTAAACATCTAGAAAAACTCATTCGTCGATTGAAATACGAAAGCTTCGTCGTTAAAAGTTCTATTTTATCGATACTCAAATCGAACGATTCTAGTATACGAGTGACGATGCGTAAAGATTGATAATCGAACACTCGATGACGCGCACCGATAATAAAACGGTAAATGTTAAATAATTCAGGAGTCAATCCACTCGTGAAAAACGATGCAGCATTTTATTATGATATAAATTACGACATTATTATATCGATTCATCATTCTCGTGACGTCGATTACGCGGAACGGTAAACGTCCGCATCGATCTCTCGACGTTCGCAATTTCCTGTCGTCTTCTAAATGCAACGTCCCGCGTTATATTTTACGTTACGCTTGTACCATTCACGATGCAACGTACTTGAATATGCACGAACGAATTTTAATACGGATCCATTAAGTTCGGTTAAAGTAGCTCGCAATTCCGAGCGCGTAATTTATATGCAAATCTGTCATCCGATCTGGGTAAGAATGGCCGCTGTGATCCGTACTTTCTACCGATCCTTTTTCTTTACGCGCTTATATTAGATACCATTTGTCTATGGAATCGTGTCAGACGTCCAATCGAGCGGCAAATTATCGTTTTCCTAAGCTTGCTCGTTCATCAGCAATTTATTAGCTGCTTTATCGCACGCGTTGACAAAGCATCTCAAAATTGTCAGTAATGAAAATCCTGTGGATTTAGGAGAACGAACAGAGCAGAATATTCTCTGTAAATAAAATTGTGAGCAACTTCGACGTTGACTCACGCTCTAAGGAAACACAACGATATTATTGTTTTAAAGTAATTATATAAGACAAAATACGTAAACAAAGAATGTATAAATGATACGTTTACTTGGATATTTACTATCTATTTCGTAAGAAAGTGTGTTTGAGTCAGTAGTAAGATTAATTTTAATTATCCTATATTATACTAATGGATTTCGAAACTTGCTACTTTTCTGATAAGACAAACATTTGATGCATCACTAGTTATGTATTCTAGCCTTGTATCGTTTACCTGTAAAACCTTGCACGTTGTAAAATTTCTTTTAAAAGTCTACGTTTGATATTCCAAGTATAAATATGTACGAAATCATGAATATTAACGTCCTCGAATCTATTCTTTTGTTATCGTCTAAGAAGAGAATTCGAAAGCGACGTCTTTGTCGAGTCCTATTCGAACCAAGTTTTCTCGCAACAGCGCAAAACGATCGGGGAACTCGTGTTTGACAATATCGTGAACGTAAAAGGGAAAGCGATGTATCCTTTATTATATTGTATCGGCTCGATATGCAGCTTCGGCACGTGTAGCGAGATTAGAAGGCACCGATTAGGGTCAGTGCATGTAGACATTTGCATATCGCTTCCACCAGCTCGACATTGTTAATTCTGCGCTGAATACAGTGCCGTGGATATCGACGCAGAAATTCTTTCGTTATTGCATCCTTGGCGATCACGTGCTGCCTATTGAAGCATTTGCATCACAATTAAGAATAGGATATGGAACTGTACGTTAGACGAATCTTTCGTTAGAATTTAGGTGTTCTTGATCTGATTTTGACTCTCTCCTATCCTTTCATCGTTTATCACAGCATTTAAAAATACTTCCCATCTTGAAAAAATTACCTCACAAATTCCCACTTACATCTGAAACAAAACATGAAAATCTCTTCAATGAAATGAACAGAATTCATTTTGTCAATGTTGACTAATGTATTTATATATAATATTTAATACCCGTCTAATAATTTTCAAGGCTCGAGTGCTTTTATTTTTTTCTTTCGTTGTTGGTTGTCAAACGATGTGTGCGTGGGCGTCCTTCGTTTTATCATCGAGACTGACCGTGTGAGTCACATATCTTACTGCTCACGATTGCTAAGTTTTGCACATTAATTTGGACCTTCGAGGCTGTGTTCGCTTTATAATACATGTCTTTTGTTTTGAAAATGTATAATATTACAATCGACTTTTAGTTTCCATTGCATTATGGACTACCCGGACCTTGTCTGTTCTAACTACAGCATGACTTTTACGTTTTCTTCGCCGTCGAAACGCGAATAACGAGTCATCTCGCGAGTAATGCTAGGATATTTCTCCTTTTTAAAAGAGTGACACGATAGAATTTATTTCTTATCATTTTATTTTCTAGACTGGTTTCTCTGCCTATTAATTTTTCGATTTCATTTTTGTAGAAAGTTTTCTTTTTCTATGAGAGTTCTGTCGGGTGTACATTCTGCGTCAATATTTCTCGACTCCTTTCCAACGTAATGTGTTTACAAATCTGAATAATAATCCAGTAATAACATGACTGGAATACGAAGAAAATTTATTCACGGAATAAAGGGAAAATAGGAAAATATATCCAGACAAAATATACCAAGCATTATGAAAGGGCGAGGTTCAGTAAATAAGGCTGTTTTACACCGTAACCTAAATTTTATAAATACAAGCCGCCGAGAAGCGTATTACTTCTTCTCTAATGGATCCTACGACATTAGAGAAAATTCTAGAAATCGATAAGCATACCGGATGCGTTGCATCTGGCCTAATAGCTAATTCTAGGGCGATGAAATCAAATTGTGCCAGATCCGAATGTGAAAATCATTAGGTTATTTGCAAGGAAAGAATGTGCGTGGAGTCAATTTATATTGATCGAAAGAAAGGCCTACGTTAAACTACGCGGACCCTTCTGGAAACTATGTTCGTCGATTCCGGAAGCGAAGGCGCGCAAGAAAGCTTCCAAGAGCGTATCATTAATCTATGACGTTTAAAGAAGCAATTAAAGTAGCCTCTGCTGTACTGAAGCAAGTCATGGAAGAGAAACTAAACGATGCGGACATAGAAGTAATGATAATGCCACTCGAGGAAACTGTTTCACGTGCGCGAGAGCTGAATTACAATAGACGATCGAAGATACTGTATGAAGCGATTAAGCGCATGTTAATTTTATTGACATAGATGCATAACATTGTGGACAGCAGAAACGTGGCAAACGGTCCCGTACTCGCTATTCCATTCTTTGAGTTTGACTACTTAGAAAATTAACACATTCCGTTCTCAATTTTTAGAACCTATGACTAAGAAATGGCTAATTAATGTGATCCTTCGTAGTCATCGTATGGACAATGAAGAATTTCTAATATGAGGGGAGTGAATATTTTTTTAAAATGTTATCGTTCATCTATCGTGAAATAATTTCACAAAAGGAAAATTTTCTTCAATCTGCGGATGTGACTTACGATTACACAGTGAATGGAATTTGTATAGGGATATTAATATTTTTTAATGAATAAAATCAAGTATTGTATTAATGAAATTCAAAGTTGATGAGATATATGAGGGAATGATAACAAACAAAAAACATCTTTTGTTTTTTTTTATAAACAGTAGATAATAATTAAGTGGATTAAGCGAAATTTGCATAGGGATAGTCAATTAAAATGTTATAAAGAACAAAAATATTGTGATATTAATATTTAATATTTACAGTATCAATTTTGCTCCATTCTTTCGTTAGAGCATTTTCCAGCATTTTAGCATTGATATAGTGTTTATTATTTTTTTATACTGTTTTGGACAAGATTCTTACAGCTAACAGAAATTTGTAATTGAAATCAATGTATGTTAGTAAATCATGGTGCGTCCCTATGCAAATTTCGTCCACTGTGCTGAAATAACTCCTGCTAACCTGAAATTCTGTAAACTAAAAAACTGGTAACGTACGCGAGAACGTGGTTACGTTCGAATCGTACAAGCAAGAAACACGATCGTAAAGAGAGGGCGATGACAGAGCGTTGTAAAATAAGTAAACCCGACCGTTCGCGGATCATTTTTAATTCGACGCGCTTAACACGTGTGTTAATTAACTTGCTCCGCATTCGTCGGAATAACGACGAGGCGACAACGTTACCAGCGCGTGTCGTTCGCTCCGAGCGACGATGTTAATCGGCCCGACGCGGCGCGGCGTATCGATTAAGATCGACCGGCCGCGCAACGAATGTCAATCGACGGCTGTCTTGTAAATGTCACCAGCCGCGCGGCGTCCGTGGGCTAGACAAACAAAGAAACTCGCCTCGCGACCAGATAACTGCGAATAGGATAAGGCGCGGTGGGCAGCGAATATGGCACGACTTATATGCACCGGTGCAATAGCAACTTGCAAGTTGCAAGGTAGGACGGGTCGCCTCGCGGCATTAGTCACCGTTCGACTCGCGCCAATGTAACGCCAGGCCCTGAAATTTCATTTTCGTTCGAGCCATCGTCGTCCGTGGCCAATTCACCGTGTAAATTACACGGAATACTTATACAACGGCGTCTCTCGCGTGATCGCTGGAATCGAGCGGAACGCGATCGCGTGTAACGCGCGGAAAAGTGACCGTAGTAAAAGTGTATTCGGATTGCGTACGCTGCCTCGCAGAAGCGTTATGAAAGTGAAACCGTTTATTTATGTTACGTCTGTCGTTACTTTTCGATACGAGTTTACGGTCGCGTTGCAGCCACACGGAATTTTATTTAATAGGACCCTGTTGCATCGAGCCTAGTTGTCTTTAAATCTGACGGACGGGCAATATTCTTCGATCGTACCAAATTTTACTAGTTGAAATCAACTCTTAAGTGAACTCTTAATTTCAACCGAATTATTTTACTTAATATTAATTTTTTTCAAATTGGTAAATGGAAATCAACTTTCCTTTAAAGCGTTTTGTTGGATTCCAGTAAAATTGACAACACTTTATTTTCTTAAGAAACTCGTACAACTTGTATTAGGTCTTTCTGACGATTCCTCAATATTGCAAGCTTTTATATACTATTGTGACTCAGGAAGGGTGCGAGGTTCAGGATGAGTAAGGATTAGAAATCATTACGTGATTAGGATGTTTAGATGAATAATGTTTGTGGTGTGATTGAGTGGTGTTTGTATGGTCGTGTTGGTCATTCAACTAATGACCTAATGGAGGAT